TGTCTGCATGTGAGTATGCTTACTGTATAATTAAATGTTTTACTTTGAAAGGACCAATATATTATATTAGAAAAAGCAATATATATTATATATATACTACTCAATCATCTGGGGTGGGCAAGACATAGCCTTACATATTACATGCGACAATATATGGCGCAATGACTTATGGGGCTGGCATAGTTTTTTTTCCAGGGCTGCTTTGTATCCCCAGTCCAGCCCTGGGCAGTGTCCAGTATACTACTTCCTCTTTCTTGCTGTGATGGAGCTCCCTGTATCCTGGCTGAGTACCTCTGCCAAATCTGCTTCCTAGCTGCTTGCAGGGAGCCTGGAATGCTTCTACCTCAATTGCTGCAGCTTGAGTGGGGTCCTTCTGGAGCTTTTGCACCTGACCAGGCAGCAGCTCTTCTTCCAGGCAGGTATTGTCCCCTCTGCCTATTTCACTGCAGCCCTTCTTCCAGGCAGGTATTGTCCCCTCTGCCTATGCTCTGATTACAGTTTGCCTTTACAAAGCTCTTTTGATTTATCTAGCTAGAGGGTTCTGCCGGAAACCAGCAAACAGGTCCTGACATACAAAACTTTATGTTCATTACATATGTTCATTACACTTAGATTGCTGTGACAACGTCAATAAAATTACAAACAGTCAAATCATAGCAGACAACATTCAGCAACTTATTATAACACAATAAAATATTTATAAAGGGGTGGGGAAGACAATAATTAAAAGAAAATATCTCTCCTGCCTGTAGAATTAGCAGTATGCAAATCTACCCAAATATGCAAGTTAGCAAGTCTTGCTATTTAGGTAGTGCATATCGCTGTTGCTAGATCCTTGCAACCAACATGTGATCCTGTACAGGCTCCACAGCCAAAACCACTTAGTTAATTGCAAGCATTAGCAAGACAAGAGAGCACACTAACATTTAAATGCAAACAACCACATTACATACACACCCTGCACCCAGGGTGACTTAAACATAGGAGTCATTTAGATACCTAATTGAATTGTCCATTTTAAGCTCTTGGTGATGGTTACACTTGCGATCCCGAACAAGGACAACACATCAAAATTAAAAGGGGGGCTCCAATAAGAGGGTATGCGAGCCATAACCTGGATCTTGAAGTCAAGCTGGAAGAGAAAGGAGAATATGGTAATATCCAAGTATAAAACTGGATTTATGCATAAAATCGCATTACATGGAATATCAGATATATATATATAGCATGAAATGCAGTTTAGTCAAACCTTAAGCTATTGACAGTCATTAACAAGGATAAAACCCAGTAATCAAAAAATACTTACTGTGAAGTCAACTTACCCAGAGAAGACCAAACCTCCAGGGATGGGAGGGAGGGAGGGATAATACTCGCCTCCGTGTCATTAATAAAATCATGACTTTACGTCATGTTCATAGTAAAATCTGTGAATTTTATTAAGACACAGAGGCTCCTACAATGCTAGTTTAAAGCTGTGAAATTATGTCTCCTGTGACGTGTTGAATAGGTCTAAAGTAGAAATCATGGAATGTAGACTCCAAGGAGCAACCGCTCTCTTAATATCCTCCAAGCGACAACCAATCGAGGAAGCCTTAGAAGCCATTGCCCAACGAACGGAATGAGGTGCAAACACATAGGTATCAATACCTGTTAGAGACATAACGTATTTGACCTACCGGGCTAGGGTAGCGGTAGACACTGGAAGACACAATTTTTGGAAGAAGATGAAGAGTTCCTGTTTCAAAGGATTCCATAACATAGTGGGACAAAGTTCATACTCCCATAAGCATGCAACAGGGCAAAGGAGAGATCTATCAGGGAAAGCAGGGTATAAAACGATTTTAGAGGAGCTTTTTATCCTCCGAGAAATGTCAAAGAGGACACCTTCTGGAGTAAAGGAACGAGCAACTAAATCAAGAACTCTTACGTCAGAACCCCTCATGCAAGAAAAATATTCAAGACAATAGAGACGTCCCACAAGTCAAAGGGTGGATGAACAAAAAAAATTCCTCAGAGAAGTAGACATATGACAGGATGTCAACCAACAGGCGTCCCATCGAAACTTTGACCAGCAGAAATGGACTATCAGTAAGTTCGGTAAGGGTCACAGTGCGATAGGCTTTACCTTCATTATACAAAGAAGTCAGAAAATGGAGGACAGACATAAAAGGAGCTGATATGGGATCCAAATTTAATTTCATGCACCAACTATACCATCTGCTCCAAGCAGATTTATAAACCTGTCTCGTGTTGGGTGCCCATGCGCCCTCGGTAAGTCGGAGAGTTAATTTCAAAACTCCCTCGACCGACCAAGGAGCCCTGAAATTAACCACACCATGAGATGCAAGAGACCTTGGAGAACAAGGCAGACTGTCCGGATCCTGAAGAGGGCACTTGGGAGGAAGGAGATGTGGAAGGTCGATAGCCATCTCCTGAAGAGGAGGGAGCCATGGTTGGGACGACAATAGAAGAGCCATGATTACCAGGGTGCTGGATTGGCAACATAGATGGAAAAGGCAACAGGGAATCTGAAAAGCGTAATTCCTTAAAGAAGACCAATTTTGAGAGAAAACATTAGTCGACAGTGCTGTCAGATCTGGTCTCCAACTGAAAAAACAGGGAACTTGAGCATTCAAACGAGAAGTGAAAAGATCTATTTTAAATAGACCATATAGCTTCCAGATGTCTTAGAAGACCGTAGAACCCAAGTGCCAGTTGCTGGAATCTCTGAGGTGGCGTGAATACCAGTCTGGACAACACACTCTCGTAGTGTTGGAGAAACCTTGAATATATTCTGCCGTGACTGAAATGCCGTGTGGGGTTATTGCATGTTTTGGGGTCCCTGTGATGTGTTTTATGAAACTGTATTTCTCATATCACAGCCAGAGGGGAGGATTTTGTGTGGGAGTGTCTGGGTGTATTGTATGGCTGTTTTGTAACGCCCTGTGGGCTGTACTATGTTTGTGGATTGGGAATAAAAGAGACTGTATGTGACAGTACAGGGAGTTCCTGTTTTAACCCTCAAAGTGAAGTGTCGTCTCATTATTGGGGGAAGGATTTATTGTATGCTGTTCCAGTTTGACTGCTAGGAGAGTAAACCTATTCATATGGTTCCTATTCAACTGTCTACAGCATTCATATGCTTGCGAGCATTCATATGCTCCTACGGTTCGGTGGTTTTGGTGTCTGCTGCAGTGCTTGGAGTCCTCAGGAAGCGCTAGGAGCATCCTTCAACGGAGGTACCCAGTCAGGGTGCCAGGTGATCCGTTACACCGTGCATCAGACAAAATTGCCAGAAAGGAACCGGCCAGAAGTTCCAAACAATTGATGTGGAGTGTCGATTCCAGATCTGACCATCTGCCCTTGGTGGAAATATTTCCGCATTGAGCGCCCCAACCGTGCAAACTTGCATCGGATTTGATAATATGGGGTGTTCATTCCAAGCCCCCATGTGAAGAAGCCACCATTGGAGTTCATCCTTCGCTTCTGAGCCCAGAGTTACCATATCCGTGTGTATGATGCGCTTCCCTTGAGATGAAGTTTGTAATCGTTGTAGGGCTCGGTAGCCAAGAAGACATGGAAAAATGGCCTGTATAGATGCCGCTAGAAAATCATTCTCGACAATTGAGAGGTTGCTAGTTTTTGCCTATCTCCTTCTTGATATTGGCCAATTTTGCCACAGGAAGGGGTAGAGTTTGAAGAGTAGAAGCTACAATAATCCATTATAACCCAGAAATTTTATTTGTTGCGTGGGAACGATAATGGATTTCTCCCAATTGATCAGGAAGCCTAGGTTCTCTAACAGAGTCAAAGTCCATGCAAGGTGGGTCTGGATTAATTGAATAGACTGAGTCAGAATGAAAATGCAGTCTAAATATATTATAAAACGTACTCCCCGATTCCATAGCAGGGCAACCATAGGTTTCACGAGCTTGGTGAAGCACCATGAAGCCGAAGACAGTCCGAATGGGAGACACCTGAACCTCCATTTACTGCCCTGCCATGTGAACTGCAGGAAGTTCTTGGGAACCAAGAAAAGGTTGCTCATGTAGCCCAGGGTATGGGCCGGAACCTCTACAATATCTTGTTTGTGTATCAGTTCTTTTATTTCCTCGGAGACAAGGTCTGTGTCTCATTGGAAAAAAACTATTTCCCTCGACAGGGAACATTTAACAGGTAGATAAAGGAAGTTTATGCAATACCTTTTCACAGTGTGAAGAGCCTAAGCATCTGATGAAATGAGGGACCATACATGTGTGAGCCTGCCCCCCTCTATCAGTAGGGAAGAATGAAGATTGTGAAGACTTACCATAAGGTAATCCTGAAGGAGCACTTCTTGGGCCACCAGCAACCCAGGGTCGACCACGTTGTAGGAAGAAGGTTGGTATAGTGCATTATTCAAAGAAATTGTCTCGACCAGTATAAGAGCCTTGGTTCTGTCTAAAAGAACTTCTGTTAATTCAGCCGGACAGACTGCTCCTGGCTTTTCTCGCCCCAGCAAAAACTCGTTAAATAGCTTGTGCATGTTGGATTGCACTTTATCTAGAGCAGTCAATGTGTGGACAAAGGAGCCCAATTATTTTACAAAGTTGTCTCCAAAGAGAAAACATTTTGCCTGTGTGTCCATAGTTACACTTTGGACACACTTATTACAGAGCCATAGTTACACATTTGGGCTCAATCTTGAGAAAGATCAATTTGTGGTGTTCTGTGACAACCACATTGTTTGTGTTGCCAATTTAAGAGATCACTCTCTGGATCCACCCACTTAAGGTGGTGTGATTTGACTCTAGATCATGCTCTACTGCTTCAAAGATCTTGGCTACTGGGCCCAAGATGTGCAGGATTTTAACCTGACAGTTTTGCTAGGAAACATCAAAGCCTTTAGTAGGCTTCCATCCTGTCTTACTCAGGAATTGAATGATTTTAGGATCGACTGATAGCGTTTTACATGCATCATCAGGGACTGTTCGGAGTGGGCATTCAACCCTCAATTTATTTCACTTTGCTTTCTCAAAAGGCTTGAGTACCCTGGATGCAATATACTTGGCTATGTGGTCTGAGGTGACCACTAGGTGATATATCTCGTCAGGTTCGAATTGGGGTTCACCTTGAGTGTCAAAGATTCTATCACTGTTCCCTGAGGCAACATGATCTACCTCAATCTTGGTAGGTTTAATAGGACGTGTATCCCGTGTGGGATTAACATCCTTTCCATCAGTAATTTCATAATCCGGATCAGAAAGATCCTCTGAATCCTCCATATAGGACTCAGCGAACTCCTCCTCAATATCACTGAGCTCAGACTCAGACTTCGGTTGGGCTTTTGCCATTTTCCAAAGTCTAGTTGATTTTGCCCGACTAGTGGCTCTGTTGCGCGGTGGTAAATTAACAGGTATGGTACTGTCCATCTCTATTATTTTGGGGGAGTGTTTATCCTTATATGAGGCCTTGCGGCCAGGCTGAAGCAGTGCAGGTGTGAGTACAGGTACTACTGCCTGAGTAGTCGGCTGAGCCAATCTCTTTGCCTGTAACAGGGCCTGAGCAAATGTCTGTGAAAAGTGAATCAGACATAAACTCCATCACTGACACCAGGGCCTTCGTCATTGCTTTTGCCACGGAAGTGTCAATTAAAATTGCATATCAGCAGGAGAAGTAAAATCAGCAGAATCTGCCTCATCTCCAGAGATACCTGGAGAGGCTTCTAAAGTAATCTGCATGTTTGCTGTAGACCCAGAAGGCACAGAAAGGTCCTGTCAGACTGCCTCATAAATATACAGACAAGCCTAAGGGAATGAATAAAGTAAAATAATGCCGAAAGGAAATGGTTGAGTAACCCACAAGTAAAAAATAATAATAAAATAAACAGGATAAGGGAATGAAAGTACTCAAAATAGGGGGGGGGGGGCCTGACCAGCTTGGCCGACGGACTTGTCTGATGTGTGCTCCTCAAACATTCTGCTTAATCCGTAACTAAAGACCTAGGTGACACCCCGGAAGCTAGCCTAAACGATTACACTTATGCTACTAACAGCTGGAGAACCCTCTGAAACTACACCTGGAGTCACAGTCAGCAGCCCGCAGCCAGATACAGCCTTTGCGGCCTACTCACCTAACGAGTCCTACGTTGTTCAAGTGGGAGGTACTGTCACGGTGCAGTGGGTTTCTGTCAAAGCCAGATCTCCTTCTATCCCGGTCCTCAGTGTGTGCGGCGTTACTAGAGACGCCGGCCGCTGCGGTTCTTTTTTTTTAATAGGGAAAAGGCCTTTGACCATATCAAAGATAGCGCTTACGTGCATGCAATGTCACGTCATAGATGTGCACACACGGTTTGGGGTCAGAGGCCACATACAGCCAATTACAGCTTTAGGAGGGTTATTTAAACCCAAATTACCTTTTGATCAGTGCCCTGACGTGTTTTCTCTTAGCTGGTTATCCGAGAGAGTGTTCCTGATTGTAGTATTTCTGGTATGTGACTTTGGCTTTGTTTGACTTCCCTGATTTCTGGTATCCTTGCCTTTTGACTTTCCCTTATCATTGTGTCTCGTTCTGTATCCCTGACCTCGACAAGTATTCTGACTATTCTTGGATATGTTAAGTCTGGCCATTCTAAGGTCCGATATACATTATCCTTAGTCCTAGGTGTGATATTATTCTGCATGCTGGATCAACTAGTAATCCTGGCAAAAGGAAACTTTAAATTACCATATCCACTACAGCTCACTGTTGTGGTAATGGCACATGGAGTTTACTGGCAGCTACCCCCCATTGTAAGTAGTCAAGCTGATTACTCTTGGCATCCTTCTCGCTACAGCACACTGTAGTGGTTATGATGCTTGGACTGTTCCTTTAATGTAGGTAGCATTCTAACATGGACCATATATAAATTATTATTGGCGGGGGGCATGGCCAACCGCAGAGCTGAATGGGCGTGCACTAAGTCAGCTCCTCACGGCCTGAAAGTGAATCCACACTAATCGGAGACTTAGCAGCATTATGTAGAAACCCAAAAGACAAGGAGGCACCCACGAGAGAACGGGGAAAACCCTGATACCAAAATCAGGCTCCTTAACCCGTTTTTTCCAGGAATGCTCAGGTCAAAAGGGTGGCGGAATCAGAAGCAGACATCTCGCCGTACAGCCTGGCGCCATCTTACCTATCTTGCAGATCCCAAAACAGGGCGGGAAGCAGACATATGAGACATACTAAAAAGCTTACCCTCGAAGGCTGATCTTGCCAACATGTTGGGTAAGCTGGAGGCTGCATTCCAAACCAAAGTGGAAACTATTGAGGCCAAGGTACAACAAGTAAATCAGCGGGTCACTGACCTTGAAGATGAGAGGGATGTCATACAGGCCCAAATCACCCACCTCTCCTCCACGATGGAATCCCATGCAAGCACTATGGCCGGGTTCCAAAGATATATGGATGACCTTGACAACCGCGGCTGTAGGAATAATTTGAGGGTTAGAGGCTTGCCTGAAACCCAGGGGGAAGATATCCTAGCTACTCTCACAGAACTGTTAAATCTGATATTGGCTGAACCTGGAGACAACTTTATTCTGATGAACAGAGCACATAGATCACTCCATCCACGGGGAGCAACACCTGATGCCCCTAGAGATGTAATATGCAGATTACACTATTTCACTGTTAAGGATAAGCCTCGGGGATACATCCCAACCCCTCCTGTTCCATGGCACACCTGCACAGATCTATCCGGACTTATCATGGTACAAGCTTCAAGCTTGGAAATCCCTTAAACCGATCACAGAATTACTACACCAGCATAACATCAGATACAGGTGGGTTTTCCCTTTGCGCTAATAGTAACTCACAAAGGATCTATTCTATCCATAGCCTCACATTTGGACATCAAACCGTTTCTGAGGGTGTTGAAGCTGCCAGACACGCAGATAACTGACTGCAACCAGCCACCTCCTAACTCGGAAAATGTACCCCTCCCTCAGCAACAACAGGGATGTTCACCAATGAAGAAGAGGAGACTTGACCAACAGCTCTTCTCGCAGAACAAAAGACAGCCGCAGGGACATGGAGGAAACAGCCGAAAGGATCGAGAACTCCAACACCTCACAGGAGATGACACCCACTGCACCGGAGAAGTAATACCGAGTACCAACGAGAAAGGTTGCAGAAATTTACACCCTCCCCACAGAACTCACTGGTGGTCTGGACACACTACACCTTATACACCAGAGACTGAATTTTAACGACAAGGATCTAATTCTTTACCCACCAGGGTCTCATCATTCGACACATGGACGGTGAGGGTGTGGGGATGTGGGGGCTCCCCCCTCCCTTTTTTATTTTAGTTGCCCAGCACTTGTAACAAAGCCTCAGCATAGTTGGCATATGTCAAGTTTTTTATTCTATGGGACGCTATCCGCAGCCATCATCTGACAGGTCGTATAAATGTATTGTTATACTGCTGGGTGTTACTAATTCCCCCCTCACTCCCTGACTGCTACACTGTTATGCTACTTAACCTCTAGCTACTGCCCCAGTGCTCCCCCCCCAAAAAAAAATCATTCACTATAAGGGTGAATATTACTTCTCCGAGTCTCCTAAACCTTAGATGCTCTAGAGCTGGAGCTCATTATTTCAGGTTGCTACTTGGCCACACACCCACTCAGACAGCGGTTCCTCTCCTGCACAGAGAGAGAACTTGCACTTAACCAAGTTTACACTGGTTGCTACCTCTTCAGTAGCCATTTACCTTATCCCCTACACCTAGGGTAGATCGTCCGACACGGTGCGAGAGGACCATCCCTATACTTTCAATAAATACTTTCTTTGCTAACCAAATCACACACCAGCGTCTTGGTGTTAGACGTTAAATATTTTGTTTTATTTGCTATCTGTATCCACACACCGTTGGTCATTAGACCCCTCAGTTCTTATCCACGCACATTACAGGCAGCAAGCCATTCGAGACAAGTCAGCATCTATAAGCCGAGTCCTTACAGGACCTAGAGGTTGACAGCTAAGCCCAATCTGTTACGTATAGAGATCAAACTCACTCCCCTGAAAGAGGGACAACACTATATACCGATCCCACACCATGACCACTATTCGCATTCACTCACAAAATGCGAGAGGGCTGAACACACCAGAAAAAAAGATCACTAGCTCTGGCTGAGTTCCATAGACACAAAGCTGAGATAGTATTCATCCGAGAGACCCATTTCTGGAAAGACACAGCCCCATCCTTACGAAACAGCAGGCTATTTTAGCCATTACATAGGAGCGAAATCTAGAGGGGTAGCGATATTGATAGGACACCAGGTCCCCTTCCACTTCACAGAACAATCATCAGATGACGCAGAATGATACATATTCGTTAAAGGGAAAATTGGAAACATGGCAGTTACCTTAGCTAACCTATATCTCCCAAACAGGAAACAATGCCAGGCATTAAAGAAGATCCTACACAAACTATCCCAAACAGTGACTATCTTACCCCGGCTCGCACAAGACTTCACACTATCTTACACGACGCGCGACTCTACGAAAGCTGGAGGACTCTACATCCAACTAGGAAAGACCATTCCTTCTACTCACTACCACCAGGCAGCTATACCTGAATGGATATATGTTAAAAGTTATTTTAACCAGCTCAGGCCCATATAGCTTTCCTGTTCCTTGTTTAATGGTTTTATTTCCCTACTTAAATACCTCTGTCTTATCTCTGTAATTCTCAATCTTAGCTTTTGTTTTTCCTTAAATGATCTTAAATCAAATGTCCATCTATGCACCCCCCCATCTCTTAGCCCATCTGACCCTAATATACGTCTCTCTCCCATAGTCTGATTTTTAAACATACCCAGTCCAGCATAGAACTAAGAGCTCCATTAGCTGTTCCATGGCCATTTGAAACAGATAGCCTTCTGGAAGACTGATTCCCCTCCCACCCTACCCCTCGCCCACCCGCCCCATGGTCATTTCCTCATTTTTAGATAGTCTCCCACACAACTTTCAATCTACTGAAATGACAGGTGCAAACACTGATTAGCACACCCTTTCAATCTCTTAACCACATAGAACACATACCCTCTCTCACTACAAATAGATATATCACACACCTCATACCACTAACATGAATCTTAATATAACCATACTGTTATTCTTAATAACCCTTTTCCCAATCCAATTTTGTTCACACCACTACCAGCATAAGCACACACCTCAAACTGGAACACAAATTATCATATGCCAAGGCCTGCTCTGTTCCTTTAACTTATCTGCTGAGTGCTGGTGGAGAGTTATAAAAAAATAGCCCTCCTACCCCCACCTCACAAAATTCTAAAGTTTCCCATTCACTATATGGCCAAACAAAAATGATGTCCAAATTCCTACTCCTTACGTTACTTGCTCTTGCAAATGATGTGGAGTCTAACCCTGGTCCACCAGCTAATTCTAGTCCTAATCTCCCCACTAAAAAGGCCTCTCTTTTGTGCACTGCAACATCTGTAGTTTACTCCCTAAACGGGATGCACTGCAAACCTGGTGTTCCCATTACAAACCAAAAATCATTGTGATCTCAGAATCATGGTTAACGGCTAAAATACCAGACACCACCATTGCAATTCAGGGTTATTCATGTTTTAGAAATGACAGAACAAAGAGAGGAGGAGGCATTGTTATTTATGTTGACAATTCCATAAAGTTTACCCCTTTACAAAACCTTAGCCTTCCTGCCACCTTTGATTTCCTTTCTGGGACAATTGAGATCCTGTCCAGTTAATCAATCATTGTTGCAGGAATCTACCGCCCACCTAGCTCCCTTGTGCATTCCCTTTCTGACATCTCCTTAGTGAAACCATAGCTCAAAACCCAAAAAAGTGAACTGTTGGTCTTTGGAGATTTTAATATTGATTGGCTGAACCCTAAAAATAATAGTTCTTGCACGCTGTTTAAGACTTTGCAGCTAACACAATTAATCTCCTCCCCAACTCGCATAAACATTAAAAGCCATAACCATACCATGCTCGATTGGATTCTCTCCACTTCCCCTGATAGAATCCAGGCGGTCGGTGTTCTCCCAAATACTTTCAGCGATCACTGTTCAGTGAACTGCGTGCACAAAATAAAGGCTATTAAATCCTCTCCCAAGGTTAAAATAACTAGGTCCTTCAAAAAATTTAATCTTGAATCCTTTCTAAATGACATAAAGAACCTCCCATGGCACAGATTAAACATTATCCCAGATCTAGACTGTGCTGTTGAATTCTTTCAGTCTGAACTCCTACAAATTTGGAATTTGCATGCCCCACTGCGTAAGGTGAGGGTAAAAGGAGCACATATGAGCTGGATCACAGCTGACCTTATCCAAATGTACCAGTTTCGGGATTCTTTGTGGTCAAAGTTCAAGCGTACTGGCTCTATGAATGATCACTGTGCATATAGACAATGGCGAAATATATGCACAAAACAGACAAAATTGGCCAAGGCCCAATATTTCTATGAAAATCTGAACAATAACATCTCAAACCCTAGAAACTTTTGGAAAGTCATACATAAACTACAAACTTCCCCAATCCACTCCCAACCCTCCACTGTCAAAGTGGGTAACCAAACCCTGCAACTTCCCTTAGATATAGCAAATGCCTTTAACAATTATTTTGTTGGATGCTCTACTGCCCTGATTACCAAGCTAATAAATGACACACATCCTGAAAGTACAAATGTGAATCAGGTCACACTAAATTTGCAAAGGCCCAATACAGACAAGTTTATTTTTAGACCTGTACCTGTTAGTGTCATTAAAAAACATCTTAATAATCTAAAAATAAAAAACCAGTCCGGACCTGATCAAATCCCAGCAATGCCGTTGAAGCTCAGTGCACCGGCAATTGCTAAACCTGTCTCAACTCTAATTAACGAATCCTTGGTGTCTGGATACATACCCAAACTTTGGAAGACTGTGAGAGTAGTGCCTATCCATAAAAGTGGTGACACTACTTTGGTTTCTAACTATCGCCCAATATCATTGCTCCCGGTATTGTCAAAAATCTTAGAAAAATGTGTCCATACGCAACTTTGTGAGTACTACCAACAATTAAACTATCTGACCCCTGATCAATCGGGCTTTCGCCAGAATCACTCCACTACAACTGTCCTCTTAAAAGTTTGCAATGACATCCAAACTGGCATGGAACAAGGAGCCCTAACTGGAGCTATTTTCCTTGATTTTGCTAAGGCCTTTGACACAGTAGACCACGACATTCTACTGCACAAACTCAAAAACTCAGGTATTGGTGATCGTTCGCTAACCTGGTTTCGATCGTATGTATCAGATCGCTCGCAATATGTGTCCATTTCTGACAGCCACTCCCTCCCTCTCCAAGTCACGGGTGCTGTTCCCCAGGGTTCCATTCTCGGCCCCCTACTATTTACATTATTTATAAATGATCTGCCTAATGTCTGCCAATCCTCAAATGTACACATGTACGCAGATGACATAGTAATCTATGCGAGCAAATCCAATCTACCGCAACTTGAGGCTGTGCTCCAAGGCCAGTTTACAGAGGTAGAAAAGTGGATCGCACATAACTCAAAACAGAATGCACCTGTCATGGTTGATTATATATTTCCTACCTGTTCTATGTTAAATTTTGTATTTATTGTGTATTAATATTGTTTTTGTATTTTATTGTACCCTAATGTAACAATGCAATGATTTGTGGACCCAGGACATACTTGAAAATGAGAGAAATCTCAATGTATCTTTCCTGGTAAAATATTTTATAAATAAAATAAATAAATAAATAAATAAATATTCCTCCAACATAGACATTTAACCCTTCTCAGGGGGGCCACCTATGGCCAGATCTCGTGTTCAGACTCTCTCTCAGTGGATCTGATGATCTCAGTGGATCTTCCCTGCATAATTCACACCCCCAATAGAGACTTAACGACCTCCTGTTAAATAACCCAGATACTATTGCTAGGTTACAGGAACACCTGAAGCGATACTTCACAGAGAACAACCACCCAGATACAGCCCCGGCCATAATATGGGAAGCACATAAATGTGTAGTGAGGGGAGAACTAAAAAAATTGCCTCTGACCAGAAATGCCAAAGAGATAGTAGAGTAAGAACCCTAACCCAGGAGATCAAAAAGCTAGAGGAACAACATTCCACTGACCACTTGCTAGCAACCTATAAAACTTTATTAACGAAATGCATGGAACTCACTACCACCCTAAACCTCCACGCTAAATGGAAACTTCACTTAACTAGTGATGTCGCGAACCGTTCGCGAACTTGCCGCGAATGGTTCGCCACGGTTCGCAGCGAACTCCTGTCAGCTGACACATCCCTGCCAATCTCCGGCAGACCCTCCCTCCCAGACTCTCCTACTTCCTGGACAGCATCCATGTTGAAGCTGCCTTCAACATGGATGCTGTCCAGGAAGTAGGAGGGTCTGGGAGGGAGGGTCTGCCGGAGATTGGCAGGGATGTGTCAGCTGACCGGAGTTCGCCACGACCGTGTTCGCAACATCACTACACTTAACTAATCACACCTATTACACCCAGGGGGGTAAAAGTGGAAGACTACTGGCCCAAACTCTGCGACAAGGCAGACAGTCGACCTTCGTGTCTAGCATTAAGCTCCAGGACGGGTCACACACTCAGATGATGCCAGACATTATGAGGGCCTTTACAAAATATTATACGGGACTTTACAATCTCCGGGACTCCCCACCCTACCCTACTGACATTCAAATTTTCTGCAGAAGAGAATCAAACACACCATACCACCCAATGCGAGGGTTCTTAGAGAGCCCCATCTCAGCAGAAGAATTTCTACGCACAGTTAAACAGTTACCGGTAGGGAAGAGCCCAGGCCCGGATGGCTTTACAGGCAAATACTACAGAATAATGTCCCGAACCCTGTCACAGCCATTCCTTAATGCCTTTAACGCAAAGAACCTGAAGTACACTATCCCTTACTCAGCACTAGAAGCAAACCTAGCGTTAATAACTAAAGAGGGCAAAGACCCAACCAATTGCAGGAGCTATAGATCCATATCACCAATAAACATAGACATTAAGATTTTCACAAAAATATTAGCCACTAGACTGAAACCCCTCCTTTGCGGACTTATACACAATGATCAGGCCGGGTTCGTCCCAGGCAGGGAAGCAAAAAATAACACCACCAAGATCATCAACCTAATGCACTGCACGACAATCACAGGCAATTCCTCTCCCAGTATTCTATTAGCGATCGACGCCGAGAAGGTAAATTGGACCCTTATGCTGGCCACAATGAAAGGCTTAGGTTTTGGAGTGAGATGGCTGGAATGGTTGGGTGCAATATACTCGTCCCCCACAGTGAGGCTGAGAATAAGCAGCCAATTATCTGAACCAGTCCCGATACGAAATGGTACGAGACAAGGATGCCCTCTCTCCCCCCTGATTTTCATTCTAGTACTAGAGCCGTTCTTACAAGCGATCAGAGATAACCAGCTGATCAGGGGCTTTGTTATCAATGAGGTTGAATATAAGGTTTCTCCCTTGCTGATGACTTTGTGTTTACAGTCGTGGACCCACTAAACCCCATATACTCAAAGAAATGTTGAATTATAGCAAGGTTTCCAACTTCAAGGCCAGCCTCACTAAATGTGAGATCCTCCCCCTACACACCACTCCAAAACTAAAAACCCGCCTCAGGGGCTCCTTTGCATTCAGATGGTCCGGTAACTCCATCAAGTATCTAGGGGTACATCTACCCCATAAACTAGATCGCCTCTACGAGTTAAACTTTCCCCCAATCCTAAATGCTATCTCCAAAGACTTGAATAAATGGCACAGGCCGGGGTTTACTTGGTTTTGTAGAGTGACCATAATTAAAATTAATGTGCTTCCGCGCATCCTTTACCCACTCCAGACCTTACCCATATGTTACGATTGCCCCAGGCTAGCTGAGGATCGGACCGTAGAAAGGATGCTCCTCGTGCTCACCAAGGACCATCAGCACCGCACCAGACACCATAAGCATTGCAGACCCCACCAACTGCCGCTGCTTGGTTGGGGTCTCACGGTCTCCTACCCACCCTGGACATACGACAAGGCTCCAGGTTCCAGTGGGTGAACCTCTCTTCCTCCCAGAGAGCGAAACAGGAACAGGAACAAGAGCTCAGTGAAGCTAAGGGAGTATGCAGAGCATAGCAATCCCTGCAGTGATTATAGCCGTCCCCTCCAAACACGAGTCAAGGCTGCGAGTTGACGGTCAAGTAGAACTGGTTTAATGGGCACAAAGGACTTTCTTATATACACTTTTTTTCCCACAAGGTTACCACCCACGTGGACCTTGTGGTACACAGGACACAAAGTTACAACAGCCAATCAATACAGTACAGTACAGTCAGACACTCCCAGCCAAGGCACACAAACCCTCCCCTCTGCCTGTGGTATAATTACTACACACAATGGGCTAACTTAATTATCACAGGCAGAAAATCTACAGTTTTTACCCAAAACACAGAAACACCCCAAAACAGCAACATATCCCCATAAATCATACATCCCTGGATAGCTCTTATCTGGGTGAACAACATTTCCACAAGTCACCCAGATCAGAGCAGGGGTTCACAAATTCCATGGAAGTCATATTTGACCGACTGCAAGCATAGCTTTTATGCCCAAAACAGTTCCACAGATTTAGGCTGTGCAGCCAGTCTATCTTCTCCTCTATCCTGGAGATAATTGGCTTAAGTGGCTGTGGTAAGCCAATTATCTCCAGTAACAGGAAATATCTCTAAGTCCAAAAACTGTTACAAAAACCACATAAAAATACATAACTCTTATAATACAATGTTTAACCTATGTGTCCAACATATCCCCAGATAGCTTGGATCTGAGCGCTCAATATGTCAGAAAAGCGCTCAGATCTCACGAATACAGTTGGATTGCCATGGGGTTAAACAACAGCAAGGGCTGATGAGAGATTAAGGAGGGACAAAGCAGTCCCTGGGACAACGCCCTGCTAGAGAACAATGGACAGAAAAAAGGGGGAGGGGAAGAGCCACATTTTCTCATGGATCTGAAGGGGCAGAAAAAGTGTTTTAAAAGCCATTAGTCCTCTCCAAGAACAAGTGGCGAAGGGCACTTCATCACACCATAGTTATCCCAAAGACGTTCTTTGACACAGCACACAAGACCATCACCAAATTCATATGGTCCCACACACATCCCAGACTGGCACACTCTCTCCTGACGACACCTCGCGAAGACACAGCCACACAAGAAGGGAACCACAAAAAGCTATCCCGGTGGCATTACACACCTGCTAAGCTGCACAAACTATTCACTACCACACAACACACCTGCTGGAGATGCCAGCAATCAAATGCCCACCCATCACATATATGGTGGGAATGCCCACAAATACAATCATTTTTTAAACAAATACTCACGCTAATTAAAATTATCACAGGTGAGGCAGTACCACCCTCCCCGGAATATCTATTGTTCCTCCTACCTCCCCCCAATTTGAAGAAACCAACCCTAACACTCACCTCACACCTACTCATGGCAGCAAATCAATTGATCCCAGTAAAATGGAAACACACAAACCCCCTGTGCATAAGGGGATGGATAAACAGGGTGGAGGGAATAAAACAAATGGAGGAACTTAAATATGCTATTTCCAAAAACTACCAGACATTCCAACTCATCTGGGGACCATGGAATGCTTTCCTAGAAGAGACAGATGCCGATACATGAGCAAATCAGAGCAAGGACACCATGTTGGCAGTGGGGTAAGATATAGCATAAATAACACCGAAAGCCACTTAAGTGATAAAGATCACCCCTCTGACAGCTACAAACAAATAGTAACAGATACCTTAGCCCACCCCACACACAAGGTCACAATTTTCATTTTCAGGGGACAAAAGGGATTAAGTTTTCACTCCATGTTCTATGTGCTTCACGGTACTCACCTGTACTTACTGTTGTATGTATTGCAGGTAACCATATATTCATTTTTCCACTACTAAAATACATCAGGGGAAGTATGGTTACCGCACATGATACTTCGGCACTGTAAATTCGTGAGGAAAGCAGATATGTATAATAGACAGGAATGTCGCAACTCTTGGACTTGTGATCTCTAGATGCACGCACGTAATCTGGTAACAAAATTGATTGTGTCCACAATTATGGAAAAGGAAGACAGATAGCGAGACAATGTCTAATGCTTGTAACTACATGTTAATTCTTACATTGCATTACGATTTATTTTATCAATGATTGTTCTAAACGCTTTGTCATTGTTTATATAAAACCAAATAAAAAAGAATTTATAAAAAAAATATTATTGGCAACAAGTAATGAAAATAACTGATGAAGCCAAGTACTACCCTGAAAAACAATACAGACTTCAAGACACTGATTAATCTTCCAAGTGTGAAGAAGTGTTAGAACTAGTAATAACTATATCAGGAAAGCAGGGTGCAACTTACCAGGAAGGGTTCTTAACATGTATAGCTTGGAGGAAAGATGAGACGGGGGGATATGATAGAAACATTTAAATACATAAAGGGAATCAACGCTGTAAAGGAAGAGAGTATGTTAAAAAGAAGGAAAACTTCCACAACAAGAGGACATAGTCTTAAATTAGAGGGGATAAGGCTTAAAACTAATATCATAGGGATGATGGGGGGGGCGGGGTCTGACCGCTGAGAGGAGAGGAAGCTAAACTATACAGCTCCTGCTCTGCAGCACGGAAAAAGCGAAAAACAGCCGTTCAAACAAGACTTAATCAGCTCAAAAAGGCTACCAGGAGAAAGGTGACAAAGAGGGGCACATAATGATGCCTCACAAGCGACACTTACAGAGAATCCACCTGCTTGGCGTAAGGGAGATGGCCGCTCCCCCGCTGACACTTGCGGCTGAAAAACAGAGACAAGATGCCCGTTCCCCCTGGACCGGTGGGGGATATCCCGGTCCGCCCTCGGGAGACCCTGGTACAACCCAGCACACGCACAGTGGTGACACTGGGGCCCGAAACGAGCGGTGGAACTGCAAACAAAATGGCGGAGGCAAGGGGCTCCTACAGTACTCGCAGCGAACCGATGGAGGTGGAGCACCGGCTGGACAAAGCCTTTCAAGTACTCTGGGAGAAGCTCGAGGCACACTCCCGGCTTGGCCTACATATGGTGGACTCCATTGAAACCTCCTGTTCCCATCACCTCCGGAGAAAGAGCCTGAAAGACGACCGCGCACTCACCCAAGCAGGTTGAAACGGAAGCCTGCACAGACACCCCGGGCACCAAACCGCCGGGTAGAACGAAACCAGCTGAGACAACAGGCAAGCAAAATGGATGCACAAGCATCCACTGATGACTCCCAAAGTCGGGGGAACAAGCATTTACAAAAGAGCTTGCAGCTTAAACGAAAGCATGGGACTACTCACCAACCGAGAACCGTGAGACCGGAAACAGCGCCGATATCAGCA